AGGAGTAGAGAAGAGAATGGATCCCCCAGTGTGGCCCGTGAGGCTGCTGCAGAAGGATCCAGCTGGTTCTGGGAAGAGAATGGATTGTAGCCAGGGGCTTGTTAACAACAGGGCTGATAGTAATGATGCAGACATGAGATTTTATTTTATTTTATTCTAGTCACAAAATGCTTTCATGTTGTTTAGGCCAAATGTTATTCTGATGCTCCTAGTCTTTGCCAAACTGAGGGCCGGGCCATTTGCTTGTTCTAAGTGAGCAGCTACAGATGGCAAACAAATTTGAACATTATTCTTTATTGGTAAAAAGTTAAAACCAAATTCCCTGTGTTTGTGGGTCAGGGCTCCTTTGTTCAATAAACACAAAGATTTGTTTACATTTCCTTTGTTCTCTCTGGACATACACCGCTTGGGCCAGTGACTACACTGATTTCAAGATGCCCTGCAGTCCTCATTTTTGTTTTCAGGTGGGTATTATATAGAGCTTCATGGACAAGTCAGCTACTCTTGCCTGCAGAGTATTAGCTATGTGATCTCAGGCAGGTGACTTCACCCCGCTGGTGTCCTTTTCTATGAAATCAAGACTAAACTTGGTCAGGAAACCAATCAGTTGGACGAATAATCATTCCTTACTTTTAGGAATAAGATACCTGTGAGAAAAAGAAAAGAAAAATACAGCTGATAAAAATAACAGAAACTCACATGCTACTTGCTCTGTGTTAGAGCCTATTCCAAGCACTTGCCATGTGTTAATTCATTTCATGCTTGAAATAGCCCTATGAGGAAGGTACACCTAGTGTACTAATTTCACAGATAACAAAACTGAGACACAGAGAGGGTACACAACTTGCCCAAGGTCACACAGCTGATAAGGAGCAGAACTAGGACATGAATTCAGGCATTCTGGCTCCAGAGTCTGTGAGGGTTGATTTTGTATATTAGATCCGCCCTTACTAATTTGTTTTCAATAAATCTGAATACGCCTCCAGAGGGTAATTGAAAAACTACTCCTCCCCCACATGATAGAACTCTCTGGTTCTTGGTTAACTTATGTTCCTAGAAGAACAAACTTGAAGCTCTGTATGTCTGTGATTATGGTATCATGCGAAGTAACTGGAGTTTGGAGTCAAAGAAATAGTTTGAAGTGCCAGCCACCCTTTTATGTGTTGTGTTATGTGGACTTGGCCACAGAGCTGGCTAGGCTTTGGCTCCAACCACCTGTCAGAGAAAACTAAAGAGAAGAAGTAGAAGTGACTTTGGTTTTTGACTAAAACTCAGCAGGTAATGTTAACCCCTGAGGCATGCACCCAGCAGCTGTCATCCTGGCCTCTGGGAGTGTGGTTAGATTCAATATTGAAAGAAGGTAGGGGGCGCCTGGGTGGCTCAGTCGGTTGAGCGTCTGACTCTTATTTTCAGCTCAGGTCATGATCTCAGGGCTGTGGAACTGAGCCCCATGTCCGGCTCTGCGCTCACTGGGGAGTCTGCTTGAGATTCTCTCCCTCTTCCTCTATCCCTCTCCCCCTTCTCTCTCAAATAAATAAATAAATAAATCTTAAAAAAAAAAAAAAAAGGAGAAGGGCCTACCAGGGGATAGGCAGGGGAATTGGGATCCCCATGTAGCAGGTAAGGTGAGTTACCTGGCTTCTGGAGGGAAACCAGAACACCAGCTAAAGTTTAGACCCATTAGCTAGACAATCCTGACTGGAATTAGGGGTAGATCACAGCCCTGTGGGGATGTGGGTGTGTGTCCCCAGCTTGCTCTTTTTTAGGGAAGAAACTCAAGTTCTGTCCCCAACCCTCAGTGGGGCTCGAGCTGCCCAGGTAGTCTGGCGGAATAGAAAGAGCTAGGTTTTGGAATCCGAGAGATCTGGATTAGACCTCAGTTCAGCCATGTGACCTTGGGCAAGTCACTTAACGTCTCTGATCCTAGGTCTCATCATTATAAAGCAATGATAACAATTCCTGCCTTGTAGGGTTATTGAGCGAGTGAGTACAGAAGCCAAGCCCCCGGCGTACTGTAGGATTCTCAATAGTCCATCTGTACTCACTACCGTATTGGCCTGTTGGCTCACTTGGACTTTCTGCTTGGCTGAGCCTGAGAACTTAAGGCTGCTAGCACTGGAGGCTTTGGGCACAAGGTACAGCGAGGTCACTGAGAGACCACGGGCCCGGTCAGTGCATCTCTGAGATGTGATTTCCTTCTTGTGATCATTAGTGCTCCTCCTTTCCTACTCTGCTAGATTGTTAGAGGAGAATGCAAGACTCAGTAACCTGAAAAGCATTATACAAAAATTGTTATTATAAAAAGAATTGCAGTAACATCGATTAACATTTTGAGTGCTTACTTTTTTGCCTAACACTAGTTTAAGTGCTGCCCATGTGTCACCCAATTTAATTTTAATCCTCCAACAGCTTTGCCTGGTAGAGTCCTATTTATTGTTCCTATTTTTCAGTTAAACTGAGGTACCCAGAGTTTAAGTAACTTGCCTAAGGTCACTCAGAATTGAGGGCTGACCCAGAATTCAAACCCAGTTAGTTGAGTTCCAGCACCTGCCCAATGGAGTATTAATCACTATGCTTATACTGGCATTGCTATTTCCATGTTTCTTTTCTAGCAAGGATATTTAGTTAGCCATTCTCTGAGTAGGAGACAGGACTGTGAGGCCATGATGACAGCTCCATAAAGCCACCTGTTCCTTAGTCTCTCTACTCTCTGGGCACACCTCAAATGTCTTAGGAACACATGTGCTTCTGTCTAGAGCAGAAACATTCATAGATTGAATATATATGGATATAGATTAGAGAAACAAGTTCAGAGATAAAGATCAGAATATAAATGGAAAGAAGCAGGACATTAGCAACATAATTTATGGGCTCATGATTGCGTTGTGAAGGATAATTATTCATTGGTTTAAGTGGGATGAAAAGTGTCATTCTGGAAACACAGTGAGTGATAGTCATACTTAATCTGTTTTCTACCACTCACATAAGATAAATGTCATTCACATGCGTGACATACTCCTGTGGGACTGCCCAGATTTTGACATCTCTCCCCAATCTTTTTGTGGAAAATTAAGGTACTTAATGAATGATTTATTTTGGGCATGTATGAAAGTATTTTATAGGAATTTGGGTGCTTTTAAATTAGCCACTTAGATCTCTCCCAAAAAAGGGTTATTTTTCAACAAAGTTCCATTAAATTCAACAAATTTACTATGCTCTGCTTATGCTGTACCATACGGCAGCTACTAGCCACGTGTGGCTGTTAAAATTTAAATTTAAAAATTCAGTTCTTGGGACGCCTGGGTGGCTCAGTCGGTTAAGCGTCTGCCTTTCGCTCAGGTCATGATCCCAGGATCCTGGGATTGAGTCCCGCATCGAGCTGCTTGCTCAGTGGGGAGCCTGCTTCTCCCTCTGCCTGCCACTCTCCCTGCTTGTGCGCTCACTTGCGCGCTCTCTCTCTCTCTCTCTCTCTGGCAAATAAATAAAATCTTAAAAAAAAAATCAGTTCTTTAGTTGCTCTAGTTACATATCGTGTGCTCAGTAGCTCACCTGTAGCTGGTGGCTGCCATTTAGACAATGCAGATTATAGAACATTTCCATCATTACAGAAAGTCCTATTGGACAAAGCTGCTAGACGGTAGGATACACTAAAGATACAATGATGACAAAACATTCTAGATGCCTGCCCTTATGGGCTTGTAGTCCGGCAGAGAGGACAACTGCTTAACAACCCATCCCAGGTTGGGAGTCAGGGAAGGACAGAAGGCAATGGGAGGGTATGCAGAGGAGATCAACCTGACAGTGGGTGGTCAGGGAACATAAAGTCAAAGAATACTCCTTATACATCAACAACAGACCAATTGTTTTAAAAAAATATTGAACTTAATTTTTTAAATAGTAAATTATTTTCTCTGTAACTGGATTCTGCAACTAATATCAATATGAGGTTTAAAATATATTATTGAAGAATAAACTTAAAATTTATTTCATTATTAAAATGTTTAAGAAATCTCTAAAGAAGCCAAATGAAAAATGTACATACAGTATGATTCCATTTATATGCAATCCTAGAACAGACAAAATTAGTCTATGATGATAGAAATCAGAACTGCAGTTGCCCAGAATGGAGATGGGGGTGCAGATGGAAACAAGCATTGACTACAGAAGATCTTAGGGGTACTTTCTGGGTTGTTCAGGATGCTCTCTATCTTGGTAAGGGCATTGGTTACATGGATATATGCATTTGTCAGTACTTCTGGAACTATATAACTGAAGATGGGTACATTTCCTAAAATGTAAATTATAGCTCAATTAAAAGTTGAATATATGGAATTATTTATTGTAACATCTTAATGGTTAATATGAGTTAACATTATGGAACTATTCATTGCCTCATTACTTTATCTGCCGACAACCTGGGGTTTATATCATCACTGGCTGCAAGGTTTTCAGCATCATTCCTGACCTTATGCTATGTGGATATAAATATGTCGCTCCTACTTTTCCAGTCTTTCATGCTTTCTTTCCTATCAAAAGTGGACAAGCTGGAAGGATCTTTGCCAGCATGTTAAGAATGGTATCATTTTGGGGTAGAAAGATTTGAGGTGAATTTTGAAGCTTTTTCTTCTTCACAGTATTGTTTGAGTCTGTAACAAGGACCGTGTGTTTTTCTTATACTTTGAAACACAAAATCTCATTCTGTGTTGGCTTAGGAAGTACATTTACTTATCCATGGGTTACCATATGGTCATTTGAAAACTTTGGGTTTTAAACGATGGTTAGTGACAAGTTTCCTTGTAAGCAGCAGGCTCCGTGGGTGATTGTTCTATAGTCACGGGGTCTCAGTAAATGTATAATTTCATGCCTGGTCTGTCTCCACCATGCCTCTCCTGTGCAGTCTCTCTGTGGTCCTGGGGCGCACTGGAGTGGATTTGGGTTGCTCGGAGGTGCTCCTTAGCTGTCTGCCCCTCTCACCTACCTCCTTCACCCTGTGCTCACAGATTCTTACCTGACCCTCGATGAACCGATGAATAACATCACCACGTCCCTGGGGCAGACAGCTGAACTGCACTGCAAAGTGTCTGGGAATCCACCTCCCACCATCCGCTGGTTCAAAAATGATGCACCTGTGGTGCAGGAGCCCCGGAGGATCTCCTTTCGGGCAACCAACTATGGCTCCAGGCTGCGGATTAGAAACCTCGACACCACAGACACAGGCTACTTCCAATGTGTGGCAACAAACGGCAAGAAGGTGGTTTCTACCACTGGAGTCCTGTTCGTCAAGTTTGGTAAGCCACCTTTTGCTGGGGATGGCCTTTGGCCCTCAGCATTCAAGGGGGGGGGGCAGGGTGGAGGGAATGGGCACATACTGAAAATGTCCTATGTGCCTAGAAACTGGGACAGTTTCTAAAGCTGGTACAGTTGCACCCATTTTACAAGTAAGTAAACCAGGGCCAATGGTTAAGGACCATGTGCAGGGTTGCCCAGCTAGTAAATGGCAGAGCAGGAGTGGGGTCCAGATCTGGCTGACCCCACAGCCCTGCTCTAAACCACCATGCCAGTGAGAGAGAAGATGGGAAGGTCTACAGCACGTATGCCCCTTGTCTGTCCAGCTGCCTTCCAAACCTCTCCTGTCTCGACCAGTGTGCTTCTGGGACCACTCAGCCTCCCACTGCAAACCCCCCGAGTAGCATGAGGATGCCTACTCTAGTGACTCATTTGCCAGCACTTGTCCTAGCGTTTTCCAGGCCTGTGGAACTGTGGGCTCTAGACAGGTGCTCACTGGGACGTTTTTTGGTAGAGGTAATTGTGGGGAACTGAAACAAAATAATAAATCCCAGAAAAAGCTCACCTCGAGGTGGTTGAGAACTTTCATCTGTAATGGTTTGACTGAACCCACGCTCACTCTCCAGTAACCCAGCCTGACTGTTTCTTTTGTTTTCCTTTCATTTCTCCAGGCCCCCCTCCCACTGCAAGTCCAGGGTCCTCGTAAGTACTTTTATCTCCCTTCTTGTCACTTCTCAGTGTTTCTCCAGAGGTTTTTAGGGCAAAGACAGTGTTGTCCTCTGCTTGGGCCAAAACACTGTGTCCAGATTTCATTCCATGTTGCCCTGCCCTCGTTCCATGTTGCTTTTTCTCTGATACGAAGATTCACAAGAGACCAGCACTGGCACTAACCTCAATTGTGGTTGATTCTCTTGTTGATTCTGAACATGTTGATGAAAGCAAAAACCTACTTATATTTTCTATTTTTAAAATCAATCTAACATTTAGTTATGATAATGGATTTGGTCAAATCAAACAAAAAAATGATCCAGGGCAGTGTTAGGCCTGGAGCCTAAATGGATCTCTTCTGTGTTTCTGCAAGCATTGCATTCCTGATGCTCTAGAGTTATTGAACAGACCAACAGTTAGGGATCACTTTATTTGTATTCCCTTTAAAAAACTTAGAGGCAAAAGTTCTGACTCACATAGGGGAAGGAAGAAAGCCCTGGGCTGGGACTGAGAGTTACAGGGGTTTGATTCATATCGAGTCCTTTGTTATTGGAGTCTAAAGACCCCATTTCTTAAACTGATGTGATTCGTGATGCATTTGTCCTTTCCTCTGGCTAAGGGGTTCTCTTCCTTCACTGTAGGAGCATCTGCTTGGGGCATTTTTCTTGATGTATGTTTTTATTTGGGGGATAAGAGCCATTTATTAAAACCCTCGCTCTGCAAGAAAATATATTCCATATTTTGTAGACTTCAGAAATAAAATTCACTCAGCTCTACCACAAGAGCACCAGAATGTCTGACCTAGATGGCACCTACAGCAAATATAACAGCCCCTGAATTTGCTCTAATCCCTTCTGTGCCACTTAATTACAGTGTGGAGTATTTTAATATATTTGTGTGTGCCTGAAGGGCCCAGTGGCCCACAGTCCCATTAATAAAACAGGTAGTGGGTAAAAATAAACATTGGCCTTCAGCCACCCCGTTCTGCTATTTCGTCAGCCGATTAAAGGCAACCGTAAAAGAGCCTTTAAAATCACCCAAGTGCTAATTTCATTCTACTTATCTAGGTAGAAAATGTTGATTGATCTTAAAACAGGTCAGAAACTTGGTCACTCGGCATTGCATTCTTGAAGTTTTTTTTTTTTTTTAATGATCTCACCATCCGTCGATATGTGGAATCCTTTTGAAGTCTTCTTTAAACAAAGATTAAAACTTTCGTTACTTGCTGTAGAAATGCTTCCCACCCCGGTGCCTTATTTGTTCCTGTTAATCTGTGTTTCAAATGTGGTAGATAATCTGCATCAGAGGTGGATGAATGTGGTTCACTAATCTGCCTTTACTATGAAGCACCGGGCTGTTGACGTTCTGACTGTTGCATTTGCATCTGAGAATCCCTTTTTTGTTGTCAGAATTGTTTTTAAACACTTGTATGTCCTTACTTCTTGATGTTTTCATTCTTCCTTTGCTACCGTCTTTCTGATGAGCCCAGTCGTAGTCATGATCTCATGGTTTTTAATTTTATAGAAAGATAGTGTACGGTTTTTGTGAGCTGATGTCTACAGAAAGGATCCTGATATCCTTAAAGATGCTCAGTCACAGCTAAGAGTATCCTTTGATGTCAGGCCCCTCTGTTTCATGTTAGCCGTCTGATTATCCATCAGATTAGGCAGTGAGAGCATGAAATGTACAGATAGTTGCCATGTTTGCTTGGAGGGAGCTACAGTAGAATACAATCGAAGTTGGAAATCCCATGGGGCCTTTTGCAGGTCAATCTTCATCCTTTTTTGGGCATTGACAGTGGCATTTTCCTTTCCTTTTCTTTTTTTAAAGATTGATTTATTTACTTGAGAGAGAGAGCATGCACATGGGTAGTGGGGGGAGGGGCAGAGGAAGAGGGAGAGAGAATCTCAAGGAGATTCCCTGCTGAGCACAGAGCCCTTGGCGGGGCTTGATCACAACCCTGAGATCATGACCTGAGCCGAAATCAAGAGTCAGATGCTTAAGCAACTGAGCCACCCAGGAGCCTCACCAGTTGGTGGGTTTTTTTGTTTGTTTGTTTGTTTTGTTTTGTTTTTTACTTTTTATTATTATGTTCAGTTAGCCCCGTTGGTGTTTTGATGCACTTTTTTCTCTTTCCCTTAGAAACCAGTGACCTACTTTTTCCCTTTTCTCTGCTGTCACCACTTAACCCTGTTCCTAAGAGTTCTTCTCTAACCGAGACTAATTCCCAGATAGAATGCTCGTCTCCCTTCCCTGTCCTCACAGCCCCCAGCAAGCAGGCAAGCCCGCCACGAGAGGACAGGTAGAACGGAACAAAATGATAGCCAGGGTGACTATCGCAGCTTTGAGGATTGCTCTGCAAGCCTTTTCTCAAACTGCACAGTATTTTTTCCAAATGTAGGTAGGAGTGAAGTGTATATGTAACATCGTTCTGTTTACTTGAGGGTGGCACAGCAGAGTTACTGCAAAGGAATACAGTGCAAGCCCACGACATAGCCCTAATGTTTGGAATGGTGAAATGTATTAGGTTTAGGAAACCTGGTGAGAGCCAAGTGCCATTTGAGACCACAAAGCCACACAACCCCCAACTGAGAAGGACTTGTAGGGTCCTTGAGACAATGGCCCAGGAAGGCAAAGGTAGTGAGACACTTGTCACTCCTTCTAGGGACTACATCAGGTTTCCACATGAAGCTTACAGAATGGCATTTTAGGATGTAGTAGGAGCAAGTCTGAGACATTAGTTTGGCTTCTGTTCATGGCTTCAGGCTTTATTTCTTCTGTCATTGCTGGGTCCTGGCCCACCCCTGACAATTATAGGGCCTGGGGCATGAGTACAAGTGGAGGCCCACATACCACACGTCTAAATATTTAAAAGTTATAAATCAAGCTAGCAAACTGTTAAATGAAATATGTTCTGTCCTCCCACATTGACAAATATACCTTCATAATGACAAAATCAAAAAATACTTATAAAGTTATGGTTTGTATATGACTAAAAGCCAAGAACTATCAAAAATGACTACTTTAATCATTATTATGCTTGTCTGAGTGTTCTGTTCATGGCCAGAGATATTATATATACATATGATTCATAGATTGTTATATATTTCATTAAAATTTTTTTTATTGCCTTCAGTTCAGCAAAATGACTACCTCTGTTGTTTTACACAGATTTTTACACAAGATTTTAGCATGTATTCTTTTGACAACAATGCCAAATTAGACAAACTTTCTTAAGTTTTATAATTTTTACTTTTTAAAACTAACTTTAATTTGAGGAAACTGTACTCCCCTGAGCCAGTAGCAGCTATAATTATCAATGAAATTCCTAAAGCAGTTGTTCAATTTGCTAATAATTATAGCAAATGAACTAAGAACTTTATATATCATATTCAAACATAATAATGGGGTCATGTGATAATCATGATATTTCACAACATATTATGAGCTATAATCTATATTATATATATGTTATATATTATATATATTATATACATAATAACATATATATAATGTATATAATATATAATATATGGGTCATGATAAGTAATCACATGATAGTACACATTATATTACAAAATATTATATTAATGTATCATATTATTATAAAAATATAATATATGATTTCATCATATAAATCAGCATCATGCTTCACATATTATCCTATACATGCCCAAATTTAAGAACAATATGAACTGCTTAATGTATTAGTTTTCTATAGCTGCTATAACAAGGAATATTGAATTGACTTAAACAACAGGAAGTTATTGTCTCACAGTTCTAGAAGATAGAAATCCTGGATCAAGATGTTGGCAGAGTTGGTTCTTTCTGAAGGCTGTGAGGAGGATTTCTCTCTTCTTCTGGTGACTTGCCATAATTCTTTGGCTTGTTGATACATCATCTTGATTTCTGCCATGATATTTACATGGCATTCTCCCTCTAAGTGCATGTCTCCAAATTTCCCCTTTTTATAATGACACCAGTCCTAATGTATTAGGACCCACTCCAATGACCTCACTTTAATTTAATTACCTCTGTAAATACCGTATTTCCAAATCAGGTCACATTTTGAGGTCCTGGGGATTAAGACTTCAACTTATGAATTTTGAGAGAACACAATTCAACTCATAACACTGAGTATTGCAGAATTGTTCTCAGCCATGAGAATATATAATCTTGCAAATATTATTCTTTTTTAAAAAGATTTATTTATTTATTAGAGAGAGAGAGAGTGGGAGAGGGGCTGAGGGAGAGGGAAAGAGGGAATCCCAAACAGACTCCCCACTGAGCATGGAGCCTGACACAGGGCTCGATCCTACAACCTTTGAGATCATGACCTGAGCTGAAACCAAGAGTTGGATGCTTAACCAACTGAGCCACCCAGGCACCCCAATCTTGCAAATATTATTTTAATTTGTAAGACCTTTCAGAATATAAAGAAATAGAAAGAAAAACAAGAAAGTGGATGCTTGGTAATATTGGGAATGATAGTTTGTTGTGCAAGCATACACTGAGGAAGAATTTGACAAGTTGATTATCTTTTCTCTTACTGAAGTGCTTTTGTCACTGCAGTCGTTCCTGGGCTCCAAGCAGTGTCCATCTCCTCCCCTGGCAGTGACACAACACGCAGATCATCATAGTATAGAATCACACTTGCCTTCTATTCTAAGGACATAGGGCAAGAGATGAAGAGAAGTGATCCCTGGGGCCAGATCAGTGTTAGTTACAGAAATGGATGTTTAACGATTTGGTTATGCTGTGTCAGCATCAAGTGCCAGATCTCAAGAGGCAGAGGACCCCATGTGTATATTGAACTTATTTTCAGTGTATTTGTTATATGTAGGTCCAGGGCAGGCCCCCCTCCCTTTTTTTAAATAATAGTTTTACTGGCATATTGTTCACATACCATAAAATTGACCATTTTAAAGTATAAAACTTAGTGTTTTTAGTATATTCACAGAGTTGTATAACCCTCACTACTATCTTATTTTAGA